ATGTATTTGAAATGTGAACATCCCTCTCTCCTTGGTAAAAAAATGAGCCCGTTTGGTCGAGTTGTAATGAAGATATTCAACTTTTTCTTTGTGGAGTTACTTACTGGACACCCTATATAGTTGCCCTTGTTGTTTTGAAAATGAACAAAATTTCGAGCAATCAATTTTCAGTCGTTCGAAAATTGGTCTCAAAGAATTTTGCTTTTTTTGAAAATAGTTAGAATAAGATTTACTATGCAAATAGTAGAGCTTTTCACGCTGCGTCTACTGGTATATGTTTTTTCTCTTTAAGTAAAATATACAAAATGGCAAAAAGATGAAATAAGAAAAAGCGAATTCATCTTCAACAAAAATTTTCGAAACAACAAAGACAACTAGAAAATAAATGATCCTATGTAAACTGTAGAGCTCTTGACACTACACCTTTTGGTATATTTTGTTTCTTTAATAGAATCTATTTAGTGATTAAAAAATGAATAGTAAAGTGCGGCCATACATTTTTGATCATCCACAATACTTCAAAAGCGAACAATTTTGACAAATCCAATAAACTTCATTCCCCGTCATAATGATGAAAAATCACATCTTACAAATTTGACTTAGCAAAAACCTCAACAATTCAAAATATAAAGCATGAGATGGAACAATTGCTAGAAGATAAATGAACACTATGGAAAATCATATTCATATTATTATTGATCATGTTAAGTATCTTTGCCGTAGAATAAATTAAATGTTAAACAAAAGGAAATTTGTAGATCTTATCTTCCAACGCAATACATTATACACATATTTATTCAGAGAAGATAATTTTATTTCATCTATTGCTACATGTCACACATAATCATTTTTCTTTCTTTTTCTTTAATTGAATATTTTTCTTTTTTCATCTTTCATATATTTAAGGAAAACATACTTCTGCATGTGGAATATATTCTTGTAAAGATTTTTTTTTTTTGAGGAAATTCTGTGTTACTTGTTGTAAAGATGCACATTTTATATGAAGACTATAACATTATTTGGCAAACATGCTTTAGTATCAAATAGAAATTCTTCTATATAATCATCGTCAACACTGACGATAAAAAGTTGACTAAGAATATATATTTAGTAAGAGATAAATTCATGATTATCATTGTTTGATTCATCTGCATATATAATTCTTGCACATATGGAAACGATTGAACAATTTGAAGAAAAAATTCATGTTCAAAAGAATATTCATTACATAATAAAACCATACGAATATGTTTATACGTATAATCCACCTGGAAAAATATTTGTAATATCACACTGTAATATGACATAAAACATAGATATGAGTAAATATGATATCGAGTTTGTTTTGCCTCCGGAAAGTAATTAACATAAGTAAGAATTTCATTATTTGTAAAGTTAATAAATGTGCGTTGAATATATTCTCTTGACGGCGAATTCATTTCATTACGAATATCTATCAATAAACTAATAGAAAATGTGAATTGATGTAAGTGTAATATACGATTAATAATGTGTCCGTTTATATGGTTTTCATCAATAAATCTCTCATGACCATAGACCATTAAATATAAACCAAGCACTTCTACATTTGACTTTCGATATAGGAATGGTAGAATTGTTTCATTATAATGTATCGTTTACAAATAAAGATAATTTTTTTATTTGACAATCTCGAGTTATTTCTTGAAAAACTAATCGAATTTTTAAATTTTCGTTGACAATTAGTATTAATCAAATCAACATAGACCGTATGAAGTTGATTAAAACGACCATCGAGAAGACAAAGATAATCTTCGAAACAATCTACTCTGATATTTAATATAAAAACGCTTGAAGAATAAGGGTGTGGGTGGGTCTGGGATTGGATTTAAGAAAATAGTAGATTCACAACAACACCCACATCCACACCCACACACACTCATACACACCCACACTCACACCCTACATATTTTCATCAATCAGTTAATAATGTATTATAAGAGACAATCAAATCAATATATTTATTATCAAAACATCGGAAAAGAATACATCCACTTTCAATAATATCTTTGTTCATGTCATGAACATCAGTATTAAAATTACATTCAGTAGACTTGACGATGTATGAATGAATTCTGGTAGTGTGTTATTGTTTCTTTAAAGGTTTGAAACAGATATGGCATATTGGGTCTCATTAATTTCCCACTTTTTTGAATTGATACCTAAAAGAAATGTTGCAGTTTAGGAGTAGAAATTCAGACCCCCATCCCACAAACGTGATAAACATCTTAACAACGCCTGTCCTTTATGGCAGATATATTAGTATTGTTGTTACTTCTTCTCATAAACCATGATAATCATACTCGCAAGACTGAAGTCGTCTGCGAGATCAGCATGAAATTATCCTTTGTTCTTCTTTCAAAATGACTGTAATATATAACGACTATCATGGTCTATCATCGATATACATTAACAGTACGTAGTAGTGGTTGACAAAACAAAATCTATGTCAGCAGGTCCATTGTGTCTCACGCATTAATCTTGTGAGAATGGCGTTAGTAGACTTCGTTTTATAATCGAAGAAAATAAACGAATATTATTGAGATTGACAAATTTCAAATGAGAAATTTTTCTGATACATAGAAAAAAAATTAGTTTTGTACTTATTTTAATAAACGATTCATAAGAGTGATTAATTGAATTGTTAGTAATAAGTAAAAATTACAACAAATTTAATTCAAAATATAGAGAAAGATCCAAACGGCAATAGTCTTCTACTATATCATATAAATTAACTGAATCATTAGTGTTTATGAGTTAAATGTTAAATAAGAAATGAAAATATATTGATATCTAAAAAAATTTTTATATGTACACTTAGTCGATTTTATTAGAATAGTTTTTTTTGTGAGTTTTTTCATTATAACATATTGATTTCTCGTTTGAAATGAATATTATCATGAATTGAATCTATTCTTTCTGATGTATAGTAGTAGAAATCAATAAATTCCAAAATTCATGATCAACCATTTCTAAAAGATAAAATCAACATGAAACGTATTGATTATTTACCAATTCGTAAAATAATATGATTTTTAATCATTAAATCAACTAAAATTTGGCATTTCTTATTCCATATCTGTTCATGAATGTCATTACTAGGATAGATATCAAGAGTTACTTTTTTCAAATTTGGTAATGATTGAATAAATATCATCCATTCTCGATGGTTTAAATAGTTTAAATTTTGTACTGAAGTACGACATATAAAATTAAGGTCTTGTAAATAAGGTGTTACACATAACATAAAATTTGTAAATTGTACAAAAGAAACATTAACTTTATTAATATTTAAAGTAAAACTAGAAATAGGAACTGTACAATATATATTATTGGTATTTTTTGTAGAAGAAAAATTTATTTGATTAGCTATTATATGTAAGGATTGTAAATACGGTAAACATTGTAATAAAATAATAAATCGATCGATAAAAAAATTTTCATATATTCTAATTAGTTTTAAATTTTTAATTGAACTTTTTGATGAAAATCTTAATTGAATTGGAGACATACTTATTCCTAAACAAAGACGACATGTTCGTAAATTTGATAGAGATAGAATCATTTCAAGTAGTTGATGCAACAATATTTTATCACCAGATACGATTGAACTAATATTTATATATCGAAGATGAGTAGAATTTTTTTGAAATAGACTAAGGAAATCTTTCGTAATATGCAAACGATGAAGAAAAAGTGTAGTAAGACGAGGAAAATATAATGATTTTGCATTACTGATAAGATCAACCTAAATATTATTAAATATTTTAAAGACAAAGAGCGCCTGTCAAAACAAACTGCGAGTTCTTCCAGACTCAGTTCCAGGTGTAGGAATTTAGCTTCTGACAGGTCCGCGATTTCCTAACACTCATTCTAAGCTGCACTTTTTTGTATTTAACCGAAAAATAACAGTTTTTGTGGATACGGACACTCATAGTTACCTTGGCATTTAATTGTTAAAGATCTCTTATAATTAAAAAAATCAAAGTAATTATAGAGGTCCATGGAGTAGACCTAGTCGGATTCATCTTGTATCCTCGAGAGACTATTCGATCCCGATGAGAAAATTTCATTGAGAGTATTACAGGGCAGTTGAAAAAAAAAGTGTAGTCGAAAAATAGATGTCCGTGAGTATCAGCATATTGTTTTACAGATACCCAGAAAACAAACTTAAAAGACTTTACTATTCAAATGATGGTATGAAAAGTTTTTCTGTTTTTTGATCACCATATTTACTTTATTTGTATTCTCCAATCGTAAACCAGTAACATTTTCTTGTTGTGTTAAATATGGTAGAACATATTTTAGTAAATATTGAGTATCTTCATCATTATTTTTCAAAGTGAAATGAACTTGATAAGACAATAGAATTCGATTAAGTCTTTTATTTAAATTAAAAAAAGCATTAAATTGATGACGAATTTTTAAATAAGTAAATATTTCTAACCAAAGTTCAATAGATAAATATTCGATTTTACTATGCATGATAAATAGTAAACAACAAAAATAATCATTATTCTCTATTGTCGAAATTACAGCACACATATATAGGACGAAGAAAGCAAGAAACACATTGATGCAATGACATGACTCATTAGCAAAACAAAAATAGTTGTTACGAAATTATATTCGATAAAAATTTAAAAATAAGTTGTTAATATTTGAGAGCCTACTATCGATTTAATACGTTTAATACTTTGTTCAATATCAATAACGTGACTATGATTAGATGAAAATGTTTCTCGAAAAATATCAGCTGCTTTCTCATAATATTCCAAAGCTTTTTTATATGTTTTTTTTTGTTCATACACAAGTCCAATATTTTCTAATGTTGATGCTAATGATGAATGTTTAGATGGAAGAGATTTTGTTTTTATTTTCAATGCATACTCATAATTTTCTAATGCTAAATCATATTCTTGAAGACAAAAATGAACATTTCCAATATTATTATATGATGCACCGAAATCAGGATGATCTTTTGGTAAATATTTTTTACGAATTGATAAAGCTTTTTTATGACTTTCTAAGGCTTTGGAATAATTTTGTTCTTTTTCATAAAGACAGCCCATATTGCTTAAGCAATCAGCTATTTGATAATTATTGTCTCCAAAAGTATTATACCAAATATTTAAAGCTTTATTATAAAATTCTAAAGCATTTTTAAAACATTCTTTTTTTTGATAAATACAACCAATACAATGATAATTATCAGCTAAATGTGAATCACTTGGTTTTAAATTCTTTAATGATTTTTCATGCCAGTTTAAACTTAAATCATAATTATCTTTAATTAAAGCTAATACTCCAAGTGAATAATAACATTTTGAAATATCATCATGATTATTTGGTAAATCCTTAAGTAATCGATGAAAATATTTTTCTGCTAAATCATATTTTCCCATTTGATATAAAATATTTCCAAATGAAAGAAGACTTGTTTGATCATTAATACCACTATATTCATTTTTAATATTATCAAATAATTTTTTCATATTTTCATCATTATGATTTGATAAAACCATTTGAATAATCCAAAGTCCATTTTGTTCTTGTTTTATATTTGTTAAACGAAATATTGAACTGAACATAAATAAAATTTCTTGTTCATGTGAATAAAAACTTTTCGATGTTATATTTGCAAATGGTTTTAAACGATCTAAATGAGGATTAGCATCAATTTCGAATAAAACTTTTTGTAAATTGTGTGAATAATTATATTCATTTAAAAATTGTATTGCTTGTTGTCGATTAAGACTCGTAGAAAAAAATGAATTTATTGAAATATATTCACCAAGTGACATTTTCAATTGATTTAATTCATCAATTGACATTAATTGTCCACGATAAACACGTGTTGATGATGAACATTGACATGATTTCAATTGTTTTTCAACATCACAAATAAAAAAACGAAAAAGAAATAATAAATCAATATTTTGTATACGTAATGCTTTATTTAATAAACGATAAATAAATGAATCTCGTGTATACCACCATAATGCTCGATCTGATGAATAATTTTTTTCAAATTCTTTAACGAGACTTAATTCTGTGGGATTATTTTCATAGAATTTTTTACATAATTTTATAAGTTCATTTTTATCAGTTGAATTTGGTTTCATTCGTAGAAGACAATCCATTAATAATTGAGAATGAAGAAATTCACCATTTAATTCTTTAGTAGATTTATCTTTGATATCATTACATTTTGATATATTGATTATAAATGGTTCATCAACTCTATTTTCAATACGTTTTGAATGATCTAATTGAATTTGATTTAATAAGTCGTTGAATTCAGTAATTACACCTTTTATCTAAACCAAAAATGAAAAAACAAAAACCAATAGTTGGATTATGATAATGCATCAGTTTTTATTTAATGCTTTCTTCAATACTATTATGAAATTATGATTAAGTCCGAAATATTTGAAGAAATATAATGATTTCTAATCCGCCATATCTTACAAATCATTAGGAATAATTAAGGAATTCTTTAAAGCATTTTATGTTCAAATTTTAGTGTTAGAAATAAAAATTCATGGTATTACTATAATTCATATTTGTTTTGAGAGCTATGTTTTGTTTTTGTTTTTATACGAGGGAAGCCCTCCAACTGATAAATAGCTTTTGACTCGAAATATTGCAATTTTATGATACTTTTTAAATGAGTACCATGATGAAGTTCGGAAAAACTAATTTTCGAATTTAGACTTGAAACTTTGCATATCGACAAGTCTTAATGAGAAAATATTTTTTTTTTGTGAATGTTTCAAATCTTGTCGCTGTTCCTATTCTAAGATACAACTGCGGTAATAGCATATGTTTTACATTGCTTATATAGTCAAAAGACCTAAAATTTATATACCAAACGAGTCTCATAAAGGCTTATCTCTATGCCAAAGGTTGAAGTTTTAATTCAAGAACAAATTTTTCTGGTATTCCTGAAGGGAATTACAGTAATCTCGAGTTAAGAGTGAATTATCAGTTCGAAGATGTCTGTCATAAGAAAACATTTTCTAATATTCTAAACCAGTTCATAGTTTCTGCACTGTGTTTATTTTTCTTGAAGTGAAGTCATTGATGATTGATAACGTTTACAACGTTACCAGAAATAATTGAAAATCGATTTCATTTATTAGATCAATAAACTTAGAATACCACTAGAAAAGAACCTGTTATATATTAACGATACATTTTCACGTGTTCACTAGGTTTTCTATCTTTTTTAGTTCGAAAAAGGTTTTTTCATGATAGAAGACTATGTCCTTCGTAGAAAACATGCTGTTCAGTTATGATAATTTTCTTTTTTGAAAGAATATAATCTATGAATGAAACAATACATAGAAACCAACCCTTATAGGTTTCTATTAATCTCGTTGGCGCTTGATAAGAGGGAGAATGCCAATTCGATTGGCGAGTCATAATTGGAGACCTTTCCTTGTCAGAGAAGCTCTCAGTCGTAATCATTGGATTTTTTGTGTTTTCATGTAAAGCGTTTCAAAAATGTATTTTTTTTTCGTCTTTTTTAGAAGTCCGATATTTGAATATAATCAATGGCATATGAATTTATTTTGATAGAAGCACTAAAAATGAAAGGAATATGATTTATTTATTTTTTTTACAAAATTCGATATTCATAACACATCTAACCAATACTTGAAAGAAGCGCCTGTCGAATCCAAAGTTCTTGAGCCTGAAATTGAATTGTAATCTTAATATTTTCAATGAAAATTTCTAATCTGAACATATTAGTCGTTCTAAAAGTGCGAGCTAGTTTTTTCAAATATTTCTATACGATGATTTATAATTACGATAAAAGAGGATAATATTTGAAAGGTAAATGAAATAATCTTTGTTCTATTAAAATTTTTACTACGGATCGTTTCCTATGATATTTCATCTAATCAATTGATTTACTTCTTACTGTTACCTTCTGAAAATGTTTTGCCCATTCTTCATTTTTTGCTTTATTCATACAATAAACATAAATTGAAAAAATTTGTCGATTATGATGAATTCGTGGTACTATTTCTTGTCCTAATTGACCACTAACAATAAGAAGAATTCGATCATCTTTGGAAGTTTGATTTATATATTTTTCGCAATCTTGAACATTTTGAAATGTTTTAAGATGATTTATAATTGATCGAATTTGTTGTTGAGCATCAATATTTTCTTGTAATTGATTTACTACTGCATCAAGCCAAATTAAATATACAGTTTCAAGATTATTATCTTGTAAGCCTTGTATTGTTGCCATCATTATATTTTTGTATCGTCATCTGTATTCTGACATTTCTTCAACAAATACTTTGTTTTTTATTATGATTTCTTTCGTCACGTGCATGACATGCGTCGAAAATCATCAGAACGATAAGAGAAAAGTTTCATATGTCTTGTATTTATTTGCTCAGTTTATGTAACCGTACATAAAAATATATTATGTTACAAATATCCTTAAAAATCACAACGGAGGCATTTTATTATCAAGAAAACGGGAATAAGATACCAGTAAAATTTAATGATCATTGTATCGGTAAACATATGTTTATCTTTTTCAATATTGTGACTTGTGTTAGGTCGACGACTTTCCTCTCTTTGTAGCAGGCCTTGACATGAGCTGTCTGAATTTTATTTGCTTCTTTTTTTCAAAGAAAATTTATGCATGTCACAATTGAGAACAATTTAAAAGTTTCATTGAAGTAAAAATTAAAAGACAAGAACTTCTTCCGTGTAATAATATTTCTCATTTATATGCAACGCAGCATGAAACACCAATTACCATAAACGGTATGAATTACTAATATGAAACGTTGTTAGCAATGAATTAACATTGACATTGTAAACTGCCAACAAAAGTCGAGTAAGAAGCCAATATCTCTTGCCTTTTCGATTCAATAAGAGATTTTTCTTATCTTTCGTGTTGTTGTTAGAAGCATAGAAATTTTTTAATGTTGTTAAACTAGTGATCATCATGATAATAAACTTTCTGCAGTGATATAAAAACTTATCGAACTGATTGTTGAGTTTCATCGTGAAGAGATATCTTTTCTGTAAAAAGGGTGTGGGATTCCTGTAAGTACATCCCATGCCAGGATGTTGACTAGAAAGCGTCTTCAATCTAATTTTAAGTGATCGATTGTAATACTTCAATGCAAGATCATAACGACTGAGACAATCATGAACAATGCCAATATTGTTATACGATGTAGTCAGATCAGGATGATACGCTGGGAGTCGGTCCTCTCTAATAGCAAGCGACTTCTCATAGAAGTCGAGAGCTTCCAAAGAGTTCTTCTCTTCATAATAGATGATACCGATGTTGTTGTAAAACATGGCCATATTTGGGTGATTCTCATCATGTGCTTGTTTGAAGAGTGACACGGCTCAATCGTACGATTCGAATGCTCGACGATGATCACCTCTTTTTCGATGAGCTTCACCGATGCTGGTGTGTATCACACCAATGCTGACGTGATCAGATGGGCAAAGTTGCATCTTTATCTTGAGTGAGCTCTGGTACCATTCGAGACTGGTGTCATACTGACCTTTGTCCTCAGCAACCATACCCAGATTATAATACAATCGAGACAGTGATCGATGATTCGATGGAAGTTCTCGCAGCAATCGACTATAGTATCTTTCGGTCAAGTCGAATTCTCCCATTTTTCTTACGACATCACCAAGGGAAAGAAGCTCTGTTTCTTGTCTATGGTATTTTTTCTTCATGTGATCATAGAGTGATTTAAGTTCATTGTCGTGATTACTGCATAATGTCATTCGAATAATCGATAGTGTTGCATCACCTGATGATTGTACAGAGTACTATTTTAATTAATTTTGTCTTTTTATTGAAGCCTATCAAATTCAGAATTTGAAACAGATTTTAGCAGCTCCAGTCTTGCAGAATAAAGTTTACTCTGCAAAGCGTGCTGTTTACTTTTCTATTTTATCTTGCATGAAAGATTTTAAAATTATTGTATGTTTAAGGGCATGTTTTGAAACAGCATTTGTTACAAAAGAAGATGTCCATAGAAGTCAGTTCTTTAATGAGAATGCGAGTGCCAGTCACAACTCACAATGCAACCACAAAAACACAAGTAGCAAGTTAATGAGATAAAGATGTAATTCAATACAAAGGTATTTCCGCTGTGACTTCGTTAACTCGTAACGTTGTCAGGCCACCTTAGATTTGGATGCAGCTGTATGATGTGATTATGAGTGTGGAAGTTGGACGAAGCAAACAAATACGTCCACACACACACGATTATCTACTCGTCTATGGTAATCAAGTTTATTTCTAAAATAAAAGTGCTTGGAACTAACACATGGCGGTAGTTTTGGATGCATTTGAAGCCCTCATGTTTTCAGAAGTCAGACTTACTCTATGAATATAGTTTATGAAATCTAGACTTTTTTTATTACCAAAATAATCAACACAAAATCTGTACAAACTCTGGAATTTTCACGAAATCCGAAGACGGTCACTGTAGTGGAATTGCCATACGTTGTTGTCTTTCTATATATTCTTCGTTGTTTTTTATACCATTTCGTAGCATTAGAAAAGTTTCATCCAATCATATGCAAACTTGTCTCATTGATCCTTACCTCGTTGCATAAAAAGAGCTAATTATCGTGATCAATGCAGCTTTATATACTGACTATTGCAGTTAGCCTGCGCATAGCACAATTAAGAGCTGTATAACCATTTCTACCAGGGACCATTTTTTAATATATTACATGATAGTTTGACGTAGAAGAAATCAATTTTCTCAAGGGACCAATTTCACGAACTGTCAAGTCTCCTTCTTGGTATTCTAGTCATAATTACCAAAATTGCCTATTGAAGCTATTCAAACGATAATCAGATATGCCCATTTAAGTATAATTATTGTAAAAAGGCAATATAATGACAGCATTCAAGAAATATTGTTGTCAATACTAACGAAATATTGGTCATTTTTTCTTTCACTGATTCAAAGTACGCAAAACTACTATAAAAGAAAGAAGCAAATAGCCCGTTAATACTACATATCGATAATAAGCCGAACAGGAGTTTGTACTTTTCTCGTTGTTATGCATTATCTCGGTACTTTTATTGTGGTAAGTTATCTGAATACTGCTCGAACATCAAACTATTAAAGATAAAATGTTTGTTTCTANATAAATTGACACGAAGAAAAAGTAAGGGTATACCATGGAATATAAAATGATTGGTTAAAATGCAAAAGGATAAGCTACACACATTGTTGTGTGTAGCGTGTGAATGTAGCTTATCTTAACCATCGCAGACGCTTATCTCGAATTTTAATTGGATAGTAAAATGGACCAATAATCTGTTGATAGACATAATTTGTTATTTGTGTGGTTTTTTCGATACTTCATCATCTCCTCACCAGAGAAATTGTTTATTATACTCGACTTTTTTCACGATAATTTTTCTTTTTATCTATCAAACATGTCTGATGTTGATTCTGACATAGAAAATTTAATACCATTAGTAACACATAATGTACCTGATAATCACCTCGATATATCGAATATGGTGACCGAAAAATATCGTGCTGATGAAATTGAACAATTATTAAAAAAATCAATAGATTAAAAAGAATATAAAATCATTAAAAATACATCACAATTGATTAAGTCAGATGTATGGAGTACATTTGGCTTTCCAAGCAAATTACAAAATGGTAAGCATCATGCCATATCTGGATTTGTTAGTTGTTCTAATTGTTATAAAACATTATCATATGATGGTAGTACGAAATATATGAAGAAACATAAATGTTTAGATTTAAATGTATCAATTAGTATTGAAAAAAATACATGTCTATTAATAATTGATAAATATATGGGAAAAAAAGTTATTATTCAAAAACATGACAAGGAAAAATTGCAGGAGAAAATCGTTCTTTGGTCTTGTTTGTCAATTAGACCATTTACTATTGTTGAAGATCCTGGTTTTACTGAAGTTGTAAAGGAAGCAATTACTCTTGGTAAGTAAAGCTTGAAAATTAATTATAATCTTATGTTTTTCTGAATAGGTCAAAAATATTATGGTGATATCAATGTTGAAAATTTAATTACAACTGCTAAAACAATTGGAAATAACGTTCATCCAATTGCTGAAGATTATCGACGTGCACTAAAGCCGATTCTTATTAGTCAAGCAGATGCTGGTTGCTTATGTATAATACCTGATCTTTGGTCTGATAAGGGTGGGTGTGGATGTGTGTTGGCCTTGTTCTTATCGTCATCCACACCCCGCCCACACCCACACCCACACGCCCACACCCATTGCGATATCTCCTGTTAAAAACGGAACAAGTAACACTCGTCCCTGTGACTCACTTGACTCTCGACTGTATATTGGGTTCTTTCGATGTTATACGGTACTTTATAGTCTTCAGCAAAGCTAGTGTCCAACGCTTCAAAAGGGTGGATACGTGTGTGTGCATTAACATTAGAGTCAACCTCGTTGTACACAATGGAATGCGGGTTCATATGATAATTTTTGCCAAAAAGAGTATGGTTGTGGATGTGGGTGAATGTTGGTGTTGGGTGTGCGTGGGTGTGGGTGTGAGTGTGTCGATGATAAAGGAGATACACCGAGACCTAGTCTCAAATAGGCACATCCACATCCCACACCCACACCTACACACCTACACCCCAAGATACAACAAATTCTTCTTAAATTATTACAATTACTATGAGGAAGAATTTCATTTGACATCATTTCAAGATATGTTGAATGAACTAATCTGTCTTGTAAAAATCGTGCAAAATGAATATCTGCATTATATTTCACTGATCAATCATAGTTACCATCGAAATCATCAAATTCTTCACCAAATAACGCCGTCAATGAATCACCAACGAAAAATCCAAAAATATTTTATACAAGTTTCCTCTTCATTGGAAGAAAACTTTCTACAGCAAGACTAGAAACTCAAGTCTTGTTTTCTTTTGCTTTCTCAACAGTGCATAAATTACTTATGAATTTATCTGTCTATCAAAATTCCTTTTATCTCCTTATTCGGTTTATTAGCTTATTGTATCTATTGAGCTTGTCTTTTCCCTAAAATCCAAAATATATTCCGAATATTATTGATTGGAAAAATTATATAAAGACTCCACTGTACGACTTTTTACTAAAATAAATTTCTGTCACATAGTTATATATAGTTCCTTTTTATTGTATATGAAGACATAATTATTATGAAGCTTTGCTATAAATAATTATTTCATGTTCCAACAATAATATTTTGATCAATCCAACACAACCTTTAAGACTGAATTATTTTGATATTTTGCAGAAAACTATTCAATCTCAAAACTAAAGCAAAGTACTATTTCATATGGTATTTAACTATGTTTTGTCGATCATGCTACTAAAATTCTGTATGATGATTTCAAAGTTTCACATTATAGTGCATTGGATGATTTTTTTCTTTGTAAAGAAATGAATGTTTGTTCAAAAAACTATCTTCATTTTCTTTTGATGATGAAATGGTCTCTGTTACTCTTCGTTCTTTTGATCGTGAAATTGTATACAAAACAATTTTATTTGTTTCAAATTCTTTTTCTTTCAACTGATTTTATATATATACATTCTTCTTCTCTTCGATCAAGTGTTCATATTGAAAGAGCATCATCAATTATCATAGATTCTGCAGCAGCTACAGGCTAACGGTCTTCATTCTTCCCTGATATTGTCTCTTAAACATCATATTTTTATGTTTTTGAGTATGTCTAGTGATGAAGAAATGACTAGAACACCAAACCATGCTCACACCCTTGTCTATACGTGTTCTTAGAAACTCCATAGGGGAGTCATCAATTTTCAGGAAGTACGAATAAAAACAAAAAGTTCTTGAGAAATATCAGAAAACTCCCTGAAGAGTTTCTGAAGAAGTACATGGCATCGATGTTCAGACTTTAGTAACTAATTCAGATATGTGCATGTTAATATAAATAATAAGCCGTGCTGTTTTAATTCATATTATTCTGAATAACAAAAAGCAACAGGATGATTTGATGGGGTGGATATGAGTGTAAGTACTTCCTTCATCCACATATGACACCTACACCATTCTAAAGATCATTCGAATAGATACTTAGTTTAAAAAATCTGAAGGAACTCTTACTCGAGGTCGATCCTCACAAGCGTTGTTCAAAACATTTGCTTTCGAGTCCGTATCCGTATACAGCTTTCTTCCAACAACCTCTGTAATATGACACATTTTGTTCGTTACACAGACAGTCATAATTGTGCTGTATTGCATCATGCCCACCTGCAAACGTGTCATTTCTTCCTACGTATCTGTAGACGTCAGCATGTAGCATGAGAAATTATTTATAGTCATGCAATAGAAAGCACTTCCTCTTTCAGTATATTTTTGTCATGTATGTGCACCAATGCATCAAATGTCTTTGCCTTGTTCTTGCCTGTTTTGCTGCATCATCAGCTACAGTTCACAATGTTATCGCTAGGAATTTTTCAGTTTGTGAAGTTGAACCAAGTAAAATTGTTCACCCCGAAATTCAATATCCTTCGAACGAAGATTTGCAGCGATGGGCGAGTAAAAACGAAACGCTTCAACTCGAGAATAGTCAACTTGTACATCCTTTTGTCTGGTGGTATTGGTTATCGTATATCTAATGCATTTATTGGCACTGTACTTAAAGCTTACTCATATCACTATCCGCTTGAATTAAGTGTTGAAGATATTTGGGTGGTAATTACTCAAGGTGTTGGTATACATCTTAATGAAAATGCTGAAAAATATCGTCAATTTTTTGTCTCGCATGAAGGTAAAAAGGTATTAGTGGTGGCAGTAGACGATCTTGTAATTTCGATTGATGAGAGAGTATCAAAAGGAAATCTAACAATACCAGCGATCTATTGGCCGAAAGCTGTGCGTCGAATGGGTGATTTGATCAAAGCAAATATAAAAGTCGACCTTGCTACTGTAATCACGCAGCCTTTTTCACAAACAACAACTGTACAACAAGCGGTGTTCGATGCATGTTTAATGGACACTGTTAAAAATTATTTTGACTACAGGTTCTCTATCTTATGTGGTATTCCACAAGTTACATTGGTGGCTCGATCCACTTCTTTTGCATGTACAAAAACTCAAAGAGAGCGCTCAAGGAAATCCGGACATTATTTGATGGTGGAAAACTCTCTATGAACATTCTGTTGGATGCGGTGGCACGTTTTTGACAGGATGGATTGTCGATTTTGTTCCGTAAGTATTACACTGTAGGGTATTTAGCACTTGTTTTTGACAGAGAGAAAAAAAAGGACTTCGATGATCGACGTTTTATCAGATGCTATACATACATACTTCACTTGCATTCAAGAGCGCGAATATCGAGACAATCGCAATCAACGCAAAAGAACTAAAGCAACAGTAAATGCACTATATTCTTTAGTTATTTCTAGCTATAATGTTAAACTAAAAGCCTATTCAGTATGATCTTCTTGACTATTTTATAACAGTAAAATGAAAACAAGATTAAGATTTACACTATAAGAAATTATTAAAGTTATTTCCAGCTGCCATTGCATCATATACGAGGCTTATTAGGAAAATGTATGCCCAGGCAATAACTCTATCTTTCAATTCATGTTAGATATATTACAAATCATCATGGTGGCCGTCGACAAGTTGGAAGAAGTAAACATTTCAGAAGCGATGAGACAATGACATTGTTATTCTCTTGATTATAACATAGCTTCTGCTTTGTCTCTTCTGAACAGGAAGGAACCCATAGAGTCCATGTTTCGATTTTAACGAAGCCGTCACACAAACTGATTTTATTCTTGACAACAATGGAGCAGCTACCAAAATGAAATTGATTGCCGGTTTTCTAGGTATTGGACAAAATTCCAAAACCAACACTCTCCGACCGATTCTCAGTTGGTTGACAGTTCTACCGTCAGCAACAATGCCTGAGCAGAGAGTGGCTTGTAATTTAAGCAACACTACTGTATAGACAAAACGACGGTGATACGATACGTATGCGCATAAGTTTTCTACGTCGACTTCTTCACACATGATATTTTCATGCAGAACATTTTATACGAGACGTTATCGCACATGACACTACTGCGCAGATATTCACACGCAGGATGATTTTTTCTGTTCTATTTACGTTAAATTAGTATGTCTATCAAATTTTGATTTGCTGTTCTGCTGCTATATTATCAGGTTAGTTAAATTCCTGATTATCAATGAAAGAAAGGAGGTATAAGTTTGGTTGTGGGGTGTGCGGTGAAGAGTGAGCATTTTAAGTGAAAGAAAAACACTAAAACACAGTCACATCTATATCTGCACATTGAAGTGTCTTTACGTATAAGTATGCCGTATGGAGACGTCAGTACTGAAATGGTGGTGAGTCAAGACGATATAAAGAAGTATTTATACTGTTAGGATTCTCAGGACTTTTTACCTTGTTTTTTTTTTTGGTTTTAAGCGTTTAAATAAATATTTGTTTAAACTAATCTATTCTTACAGTACTCAGTCAATGACAGTATTAATAAGAGGCAAGATACATGATAATGCAATCCTTTGCAGAGAAAAAGAGTTTTAAGAAGAACCCTCTAGATTGTACCATATTATGACTCCTTCATTCAACAGACATATATTTTTGTTTGTAGTTTCTTAATTTGTCGATGATTTTGAACGTTCATCGTTTTTGAAAACAAATCAAAAAATTTCTTAAAATGACTTTCATCCGTAAAAAAAATATTCTATCATCTTGGTGAAACCCTTTTTTTGGTTATTATGTATACTATCACCAAAATCTATCGAGTTGCTTGGAAATATATATTCTTGACTTGATTATCAATGAAAGCTATTGTAGGCGTTTTGCTGCACTCTACTGATGTTTGTCATATCTATCTGAGATTTCTTTCAGCTTTTTATTCTTCACTTATTCGTATGTCATTGCCATGGTTCTAATTGAAACTACTCATGGATCGTCTTAGATAGGTGACTAACCTAGGGATGGGTTATTTACTTTACTTTTTAATTACTTTGCCAAAGTAAATTAATTAAAATAGTTGCTTAGTTACTAGTAAATAGTAACTAGGGTGTGGGTTTTGATGGGTGCCTTACCTTTCTTCACATTCACACCCACACACACCACACCAACACCCACAGTCACACCCTCACACCTCGTCATAAACGACAACTGTAAAAGACAGCTGCTTTCCGTCTTAAATAAGCAGGTTACGGCCGTTTACGACATGCTATGATGGCTAAGCTCTTTCGCATGATATAATTTTTATCAACTGTGTATAAGATCGAAAATTGTGAAATAGTTGATAGTTAGGGGACAGAAAACTTTTCTTATGTAGACTTCCGCAAAATAAATGCACTGAAAATGCTTCTAACTAAATAATGTTACACCTTAATAATGTCGATGTCGACATTTTTTTATTGGCCATGCTTACTTATTCTCACTTGTGTTTTTTTCGTTCTTCTCGAAGGGTTCTTCGTGTATTTTTCTTTTTTTCTCAACGATTGATGAAGGATTGCAAAACTATTCCTCTTCTCATGTGACTATTTATAACCAGTGCATAGCTATTCACACCATTACAAGTATCGTATCCTAAAAACAAACAACATACTCTTTCAAAGCTCATACATCTGATCAAAAACTGTGTATAGCACGAATACAACGCAATAATGTCTGGCAAGGTGACTCTGTCGATGCATACGTTACCCATTGATTTAGTCTATCGAATATTGGATGGACTCGATCGATTAACCATTCTTCTATCACTTCGTAACGTATGTAAACGTCTTAATGAAGTCATCGATACCTATCCTCGATATCAGGTAAGCTATCGCGCATATTTGTTTTGAGGACCGACTTCAACCATCTTCGAAACATTATTTATTTTCCGTCATTGAAGTATATTCCTCTTTGTTCCACTCAATATTAGATCGAATAAGAAAACTAATTTTTTTTCATGCTATTATATCTTGTGAGCGTGGATAAAACATTTCAAATCCTTTCCTACAGATTATTTGACATTTCACTATGAATTATTTTTAGGAAGAAACTGGAAAACGAAATATTTTCCAAAACTAATTCATTTGCTTTTGCCGAGGTGAAAAACGGCGTACCACTCATTTTAGGAGTCCTGAGAATTACGGAGTAGTATTCGAGCCAGGTCGAGTCGGATCACAAAAATTTGATCAATTTCGAACTTTGCATATGACAAAAAGCAATGCCAGATGAGATAATGATTTGCTAATTTCGCATATTGAGACGTTTTGCATAGATCCACCGAAAAAGATCTTAGTATCTGGAGAAGACTCTTGATTGACGAAAAACTATATTTGATCTTTGGTCGGGTGACAGAAAATTGACCAACATTGAACACTACTACGGAGTACAAGGAAGCGCCCAAGGGTATGACCATGCGAGTACGAAAGAACACGGTTCATTCTAAAAAATTTATTCCTTCCAGTATAAAGAAAATGATAATAAATAAGAGGAAAAAAGAATTATTCCGTAATCTTGTCTAATTTTTTCCATAACATGAGAGAAACGATCATTTTATAAATGTTGGTTTTTGTCGGCCAATAGTCAGCATGCTGACTATTTAGCTTTTCTATCTTTTCTAATCATAAGGAGGAAAAGCTGTTCATCTAATTTAAAGATCAAAATTTGGTGGCTGTATGTATTTTCAATTGACTGCTGAATTCATTATCGGACACTTTATGGTAGATTTGATGAACATGAGTGATTCATCAGACGTATGTGATATATAACTAACTGCTGAGTCATTAGTGTTTATGGAATCTATCGCTATTTGTCTGATGATGATACCAGTAACCAGTTGAAAGCTCACACATTCATCA